TTTCGAAAATACGCCGAATGGACAATTTGCCAATTCTTCTGTTATCTTTTACGAAATCCACGGGATGAAATTTTGGATAGTGGATTCTCTTACGAAATCACCACTCGGCAATTTTTTTAAATATAAATAAAGTGATAAACGAGCACATAGTCTATCTGTTTGTAAGTTTATGCTAAAGCCCCCAGCATTATAATATAGATTAAAATTGAATGCATTAGATGATAGAAGACGTTGAAAGGGTCTTTAGTTCACGTCACTCGCCATGCAAAACACAGCGGCATTATCCTGCTATTTTACGTCCGTGGTAGTGTGAGCATGCTTGTCATACTTTACTGTGGAGTACTTCTTTATGGGTTGAAAAGATTTTACAATCTAAGATTTTAAGGGCATCACATGTAAGAACCAACCAACGAAGAAGTACTCACGTATCTGCGACCCTTTGTTTTTGAAGTTGGTTTGAACTTCATGGGCTACAATAAATATTTATTGTGTTTTAAACTCAATAAGGGTGATGATTATCTCATCGAGTTCTGTGCCTTTCGCAAAAGACTCCGATAGAAACCGTTAAATGGTAACAACTATAATATTTATCGATGTAATACTTGAATGCCGGCGAAGGGTGTACACGTCGCGTGATCGCGTCTGTAGCAAATTCTCCTTACCTTGGGGAAAAATCGTCTCCATTAGTAGGTTTTTATGCACTAATTAAAATTTTAAACTTGTTACATGATGACAATATAATAATTTGTTCCATGTGGGAATTGAACCCGCGGACCTGAAGCGCCACAACCAAACGCTTAATCAGTGCAACCAAGCTGTCTAATCAAGGAAACCGACAATTTAAGCAATATCACCAATCTAGTAATATTAAAAAAACTTTAATAAAAAAATTGTGAAGATCGAGACCGCTATACTACACTGCCACTTTAGGAACAGATTCTATAATAATTATTACGTAACTTTTAATATTTTGTGAAGAAACCATAGCGCGGTCTAAAAAGCCACTTTTAACTTAATGTAGTTAGGAAATAAACCATTTAAAAAGATTTTTCTTCTTTATTTTACTTTACTTGTTTTATGTTATTTTGTAAAACAGCAACATGTGTGTGTGTAATAATGAATTATCTCATTGTGAGAATATTTGCGCTGTGTGTGTGAGCTGTGATAGCTCAGGTGCTAAACGATCGCAGTAAATTTGATTCTACGCTGGCAAACCGTGTTTAATCCCTGTCAACAACAATGATTGTTAATTTCAATTTATATGCTGATTTAATACGTGCCCGGCGGTAAAAAAATATCGTAAGGAAACTTACACATCTGAGGAACAGATTTCGAACATCAAATCCGTCAACATGCACTGGAGCAGGACGTCGAACTTTACTACTCCGAAAACCTATTTTTGAACGAGAATAGAATGGCCTAGTCGATGATAGTCATTCCAAATTTCACCGAAATCGGTCAACTTTCTAGCGTATGCCACTCTCAAATGAGGCGAGGCCCTCGAGAGTAGTAGGAAAGCCCTTGCTGTTTTCTTTGATGTCTTGACCGCCTTTGACAGGGTTTGACACGCTTGCCTTTTGGGAAAGCTTCTTACGTACGCCCCTTGCCCGATTGACTGTGTTAAAATCTTTCTGAGAGAACGGACTCACTGAGTAGTCGTCAATGGTTGCTCGTCCGATCCTATGGCGACAAATGCCAGAGTTCATAAGGAGTTCATGCTCTCCACAACTTTCTTCCCGGTTTATATTAATGACCTGCTTATGCCTAGTTTTTAGAAAAAATAAAATCATATCTGAGGGTATGAAGACGACACAGTTATGGAGACAAAACTACTATCTGAATGCTCAGGCTAGTCTGCATATAATCAAGTCCAAAGAAATGCTGTAGCGTACGAATGTCCTACTGCAGGGTGATATCAATCCTGTGAGATTCACACACAAACACAAGCGTGTTTCTTGAACGCTAAACGGAACCCGCGCACTCCCACTTTCCGGGGTTTGTCTTTAGAGTAAAAAAACGTGCTAAGAGGCTTGTTGGTAACGTTGATTTGGTTGAAATCAATATTGTCAGTCTCCCATGTAGTAACCGCGTAAGTATACCTACTACTTCATAACTTCATCACGTGGGTGCTGTAAGATGCGACAGAGGGGAACTGAGGCAGAAGATGGGAAGCAGCGTCTTTCTAAAACAGCAAAGAGCAATAAAAAGCTGTGGTTATAAAACCACCGTAAAACATGCCAACTTTGCCCTAAAAATGAGAATATTCTTGCATTTTTTGAGTTATTTTGAAAACCCGTTATATGTTTCATACCATATTTGTACCACACAGTACTTTAAGTTCATGTCTCGATATTTAATTCTTAAAATATCCAGAAAGTTGTATGTATATTTGTAAAAAACACATTCATATGTGGTGGGCAAAAATTCATAGATTTTTGGCAACTTTGCCAACTTTAAATATTTCCGATATTATAAACCGTATCAAAAATCTTAAAATAGCTAAACATAAATGTAGAGCAATGCAGTATTATATTAAAATATCAGTTTAATAGTCATATTCATTGTCCTTTAAAATTGAGTGGGCAAAGTCAAAAACCCACCTAGAACATTTTTCTTACAATAACGATCAACGTCTAAGGGCTGTCACCATTAAAAAAATGCTTCATTCCAATAATAAATGAAAACTTTTTATATATAAAATATTTATTGACGTAATAAATTCAAAAAGTGCAATCATAATGGATACAAAATAAAGAACAACGGTGTACCTACATATACTGTTTGTTTGAGTTATGTAGCGATTAACAATAAAGAATAAAAGGAATAAAAGTACAACATGTAATAGAATAAACTAAAAATACCTAAACTTATATTATTGAGCACAGGTTCTTTGGGTATTTCTAGATTTCGATTTAAAATCGAAATCAAGGAACACTTAAACATAGGTGTAGTGTGTACCCAATAATTTTACTTGCGACTATAATCAAACTAGCTTATATTATAGGTCCAGCTTAAAGATAATAATCTCCAATGTAACATAATATCAAAAACACCTAAGGGATTTTTAAAAGATGACTACACAAACAAATCAAATATGTCATCTATAATTAGTATTTTAATTACGTAAATATAATAGCAGCTATTCTTTATGTTTTAATTATTATACAGAATATTCTCAGTCTTATAGGAACGATTGTTACAATTGAGATCAAGTAAAACTTAAACATAGATAAACAAAGAGTTTCTTATTTTACTTCAGACTGAATTTGCATTATATTATAATAATAACATAACAATTTAACAGGTAAGTTTTGCACTTAACAAAATGACTTTAGTTTACAACATCTATTTATCTATTCTTCTATACTATACTAAAACTCTAACACAACATCTGTTTGGACACACATCACGCAAAAACCAGTGATCCGATTTAGATCAGACTTTCACTGGCGGATAACTGATGTTATAAGGAGCAACTTAGGCTACTTTTATTTTAGGGTTTCGCGGAAAATAATCCACGCAGGCGAAGTTGCGGGGAACAGCTAGTAACTTAATATTTTATAATAAGTTTATTGTATATTATAACTAGAAAAATCAACTTTGAACATAACTTGGCCCCTTCTAGTAATTATTGGTTGCGGTAAGACGAGAACAACGTCATCTACGTGAAGCATTTCATAAATATCTTTGACAGGTGGATACGTAAAGGTTAATCTTTTGCTATTTGCAGTATTTTTAACTTTCCTTAGAAATTCTATTGTAGGGATATTATTTCTAATAAATAAAATCCGTCCAACAAAGTGCTTGACGCTTTTTTTCGTAGCAAATTTAGCTATAAGCCAGTCACCTTCGTTTAAATTATCAACATTGCCTGTGAAATACTCAATATCAATGATCCCAAACGGGATCGGGTCCGGCTCCAAGTTTTCTTTTTCCGACTGATCTTGTAAACAGATTTTTATGTAGTCATTTAATGTTTCATATTCCGAATTATCTGATTCTGCTATACTCAATTGAAAGTCGGAAATTTCAGAGCTTGATTCACTATTTTTTTTAAATTTCTTCTTATTCACAGATGTTGTTTTCCTTGATTTTGTTTTGATTTTATTAATTTTACTCCTTTTTTTCTAGTCTGTTCTAGTCATACTTTTTCGTTTTCGTGTTGTATTTTCTTCTTATTGCATATTTATGTATTCATTATTTTTGTCCGTTACTCTTGAATCATTGTTTGTTTTATTTATTTTATCCCTTGTAAATAATTTCATTTTCAGTGCCGATTGCGTAATAACTTTAGCACCAGCATCTATTTGGATCCTTAAGTTTTTCTGTGTTTTTCTTTCCTTACAGTCTAATTTTACATTGGAAGTTATTGTAACATTTGTTTGATCTGTTGATTGCAAACATGATGGCAAATCATTATCATTTATCACTATAAATGGCAAGTTCTCTTTGTCACCTTTTCGATTTTTGCTTAATAAATGCACATTATTTGGTGATAGAGGAGTAGTGTAATTTATTAAGGAAATCATATTATTATTTATAACTGTTATACAGATTTTACTGAGATTATCTGGATTATAAAGCACATGGGATATATTTGACCATAGGAACATTTGTAAATTATTTCTATAAACATTTTCATTTGAAGTCGAAGGCATTTCGTTAGATTTATTGGACGGAAAAACTATACCTTCATGTTCTATCTTCTGGGTAGTTTCAATATGTTCAGGTGTGTTTTTTAAAAAAATCCTATTTTGTCATCCAATACGAGCTCATTTTCTTCTATGTCTCTTTCAGTAGTCACTTCTTCTAATATATTTATCTCACAATCTTGCCTGCTGCTTTCTATATCATTAAAATTATCCTGATAGTTTTCAAATATTTTGGATTTCCTATTTTGAACACTTTTGTTACTAGTTGTTTTTATTAAAATATCGGCGGCACAAACTGACTTGCCTGGTTCTGTACGTAATTTCTTACTCCTTTTCACTGCCATTGGTTTAGAACACCTTTCTTTTTTGTAGGTAATCTAATAAAGCGGAATCTATTCTGTACACTTCTTCGTCAAAATACTCAGGTATTCGTTTCAAAACATTTCGGGCATTAACTGGCCATATTCCCGCGGCTCTAAATCCACTTTTAATATTATTACTTTCTCTGAGATTAATATTTTTTAATAATTCGTTCAAGAGTTTAGGAAAGTGCTTTTTATTAATAGTTGACTGTTCCGGATTTTGAATTTTGTAATTTGTGAGTACCTTCCACCATTCTCTTTTTAAAGGGGCAAAAAACGCTACATCTAGAGGTTGGGTCAGATGTGTGGAGTTAGGTGGAAGAAACACAAACCTAATATCATATTTTTGGCATAGCTCCACAACTTCGATATTTAGGTGACTAGACAAATTATCACCTATTATGACTTTTGGTCCTGATAGATTCTTTGCCCACTTTAGTATAATTGTTCTAAAATAATCCTCAAAACAGGCAGAGTCAAACCAACCCGATTTCGTGCAATTATAACGAGTTCCCCCAGGACCTCCGTCAACCCATTCGGAATATATATTTGTAGCTTTATATACTACATATGTTGGAAGACAGTCACCAGCTGCAGACACCGTAAACATAATCGAAACACAACTCTTAGAACTGTTTAAAATTCTTTCGGGATATTTTATGCCCCTTCTAAAAATGCATTTTAAATTACTCAGGTTATCAGACAAATTAGTCTCATCATAGTTAAGGATGTTACTAGGTGGAATATCCTTCAGCGTCGCTTGTAAATTATCGAAGAAATTTTGCATTTCTAGCAGATCTTTCTCGGCCCGGATCTTTTTTATATTTTGTGTAGTTCGAACTGATAATTTTGATGAATGTCTATTTAAAAATTTTTCTACCCAAGTGTTTCCGGGCATTTTTCCATTAAAAATATGACTGCCTGAATTTTTTTCTAAATAATTAAAAACAAGCATTTTCAGGTCTAACTTGGTCATTGGAGAACCATAGTCACTGACAGCTACCAGAACATTTACAAGATTTTCTTCTTCGATTTCTGTTAGTTGTTTTTGTCCCCCAACCGTTTTCATGTGCACTTCTTTTGCCTTATTTATTATGGTCCTCCGTGGTATCCCGAATTGTTTTTCGGCTTGTCTACTAGAAATAACATTTTTTTTTTACTAGGTCTACTCCTATATCCAACATTTCCTTAGAGTAGTTTTTGTAATTTCTGGATCCTAGTTTCCTTCTATTTCTTTTTCTTTTTGTACATGTATTTGAATTATTATTACTGTTTATCCTATAAAAACAAAAACAATATATCTGAGAAACTATAAAAACAAATAATAAAAAAGGTTACAAAATGCGGAATTACGCAGAAGCGTAGAATACTATATGTAGAAAATACGATCGACGAGATCTTTCATTTGTGCTACTAACAAAAATTACAGCAAATGAAAAAGTTACAGATGACAACCCTACGGGTAATAAATTGGTGGGCAATGTTGTCAACAATGCTCAAAAAAGAAGCGTGTGACTTTGCCCACCAACATATTAGGTGAATTTATGAAATTTTTTGCGTAAATAGTAGTCTATATTATCCATTTTAAATATATTTACGGTAGTAAAAAAATTACTTACCTGCTGTTACTGCAACTATCACTTTTCAGTAAAGTTTTTGTGCTGGTTTTTGCCCACCAAAAAACACTACCAACTTATACAAGTTCTGACAGGCAACTGAAGTTACATAGATGACATAACATCACTTAGTGTTGCTAGAAAAATAATGAATTTTATACTACAGACAAAAAAATACTCCTAAGTTATGTCAAATTCGCTGTGTATCAAGTTTACCAAAAAATACACAACTGGGCAAAGTCAAATCCCAAGGGCAAAGTTGCCAGGTTTTACGGCACTCACTAAGTGAAACAACTATGGCAATATAGGGGGGGGGACATGAGCAACGACACAAAAAACGGCCCCTAGTCCCCGGCAGCCCCGCTATTTCTAGTCACGTTGGTGAGCATGGTAACGGTGGGGCAGTGGGTGCTAAGAATCTCCGGTGGAGGTTCGGCTGCCACCTAATTATACTCGGCCTGGCAACATATAATGCACGCACCCTGAGGACTGAAGAGAAGATCATGGAAGACAAGTTATAGTGGATAAAGACAAGTTGCCCTGCCATATTATAGGATTATCTGAGGTCCGAAGAAAGGGAGAGGACACGGTAATCCTCGAATCTGGCAACTTGTTCTATCACTGGGAGGGTGACTTTCTGTCTCAAGGAGGTGTCGGATCTATCGTCTACAAGTTTCTCGTTAACAACGCTGTAAAGATTGGGAGTGTGTCAATGAGGGTTGAGTATCTTATACTCTAAATCGGTAACCGCTATTCGCTAGAGATCACGCACTAACCTCGGCACATCTTGATGAGGTGGTGGTGAAAACACACACACACACACACACACACACACACACACACACACACACACACGCACACACACACATACACACACATACACACACACACACACACACATACACACACACACACACACACACACACACACACACACACACACACACACACACACACACACAATCTCATCATCTTTATGATGAACTCTTTCTTCCAGAAGCGGCCCCACTGGAAGTGGACCTGGTCGAGCCCCGACGGTTCGACAAAAAATGAGATTGACTTCATTATGACGACCAGACGCCAACTGTTCAGTGATGTCTCAGTGATCGCAAGGGTAAAAATGGGCAGCTATCACCGAATGGTGAGAGGCATACTAAACTAAACATGAACTTGGAGAGGTCACGTCTAATAAAGTCAGCGCTCTGTCCTGCTCTAATGCAAAGCCCCCTAAAACTTTTATCTCGAGTAACAAAATCATTTTCAGTGGCTAGAAGACTGCAATGGAGGGAAAGATATGAATTGCAAGTTTGTGGAAACTATCCATGTGGCCGGAGCTAAGTTTTGTAAGATCCGTCGCAGATGAACACAAAAACTATCCAATCACACTCTTCATATCATGGCTGAGAGAAGGGAGATGAAGCTGCAATTTTGAGCAGATATGATAGAATACAGGCAACTAAACAGACAGATCTGCCAAATGCATATTGCGGGACTTTCACTTCAATGCAGCTCCCGAACAAACCGACTTTCGAAAAGGCTTTAGCATCAGATCACATACATACCCTTCGGCAAATTGTACAGAAGTCCGAAGAGTACAATCTGCCACTTTGTCTTGCGTGGATCGTGAACTATAATAAAGCCTTTAATTCCGGCGAAATTTGGACGATGCTACAGTCCCTTAAGCGGTGCCAATAAGGTATATCAAAGTGCTGGAGTGCTTGTATAGAAGGCCTACGATAGCTATCCGAGTACGGACTGGAACGAACCCTGTGCAATTGCAGAGAGGTGTAAGACAGGAAGACGTAATATCCGCGGAACTCTTCACCGCTGCATTGAAAGACAGTTTCCAAGCTACTGGACTGGAAAGGTTACGGTATCAACGTCAATGACGTAGAGAGCCAATACATGCGTTGTGAGTTGTTCGAACTTAGTCCCGAGTCTTTAACCTTCTTTGTTTGAAGTTGATTTCAGTTGTCTATGGAATGCATTTCCGTCATTGATTGTGTTTTCATTTGTCACTTTACTGTTATAAAAAAATTAAAAAGAGCTTTGCACGTAATTTCTATAGGTCATAGATACTGCACCGAAGCAAGGACAATGAAACCAGAATAAACGTCATATTCCAAGGGATCTCAGTAAATTTGTGGCTATGAGCCGGCCATAACGTTTGGAAAACCAATCGATTGGGAACAAAGATCCTCGATGTATACGCTATTACAACAAAGTCCCAGAAAATATACAAGGTCTCTCTATTACCAAGTTTAAATATTTAACTAAACAAAACTGTATAAATGGGGTTATTATGATATAAATGAATACCTTTGAATGAGGTGGTCGCTTCGAAGCTGTTTCTAAAATAAATTTTGTAAATATATTGTGACATAGTAAAATTTATTTAAAAAAAATTCCCGCTGGGGTCTTGCTGGTTCTTCCCAACTCAGAGGTTTTTTTTTCGAACCAGTGGTAAAGTAAAAAATTGACTTTCAATAAGAATTACTTGTAATCTATATTGAATAAAAAATTATTCTATTCTATTCTTTAATGTTGTTTGTATAATAAGTCAGTTCATATTTAGTCTAATTAAAGATATAAAACCAGATAGTAGCGATGTAAGAATATACACTACTACTTATCGTCTCATGGGGTGTCATAAGAGGCGAGATAAAAAAATAAGCTAGGAGATGGGCAGTAGTGTCTTCTTAATAACGACTGAATATAAAAAACTGCGGTTCCCAACCCGCCTGCAAAAGTGCGTGTGCCACTAAGCCAAAAAATCCCCCTATGAAGGAGTGGAATTTTGATAGACTGTAACAATAACAGTAATAGTGACCATACGCACGTCTCTGATGGACCTCCTAAATTACCTTATGATGATGATGAAAACTGCAGGTTTGCACTGTGTGTTTGTAACATTTGCCTAAAAGTATTTGCAGTTTAGAAAAATTACGGGTGCAGTGTCAGCCTTATAACGTCCTACTATCATATGTTTGTTGCAATTTTAATAACGTGGTTGTGCATGTTAGAGTCCTAGTAAATCCCACAGTGGTGAATTGCCAACCATCAACATTGTATGTATGAGATTTTGAATAGTGTCGCAATGTACAATTATAATTATAATAATAGTAGTACAATTTGGCAGGCGGCTGAAATGAATCCGAACATTTTTTGAAACTTATTTATGGTTAATACGGAAGTTGGAGCTTAATTGTGTAGCTATATTGTGAACGTAATACGTACGTACGGAAGAAAACGCAAAAAGATGCACTAAATGCGTATCTGTAATGCCTAGAAGCTTTTTATTGATGCAAAAATTCTAGTTGTATTGTATACACATGAATGATTTATATATGTAACTTATCATGTGTATAGTACGGGAACAAAATGGTTGCTTAGGCTTAGAGTATTAAACAGGCAATAAATAAATTATTATCACCATATTATAACCACCAACTTATTTCCACAATGTGGCTATCATAATAGCAGAATTCTCACTTAATTGACGCGTTTCCTCATCATCGGATGTTCGTTGGCATGTAGTAAATAACTATTCTATAATCTATGGCAGGTCATAAGAAGTGTTACTTCACATACGGGGTAAGAAAGATTCTCTTAATTCGTAACCACATGGTTTATGTCGGTTATTCTAGTTTTTATACAAATATCATCAATATTATATCATGTGTAATATTAATTATAATTATCAAGAAAACCTTAAGTTTTCAAAACTTTTCACATCAGAGCTTAGTCCTTCAATTAGCAGGGTGTACCACAAGCATGTCAGGATTATCTTTTGTAGATAAATTGTATGTGTACCCTTAAGTTCACTTTTCACTATAGAATGTAATATAAGTTATATCCCGAGATATAAATTATATCGCGGGATATAACTTATATATAAATTATATATTATAGCCGGGCGAGGTCACGACAGTTAATCAGAGGAAGATCCTCTGATGAACTGTCGTGACCTCGCCCGGGGACTTGCCGATTTTAAGGTGCTGTAGAGCCATTCTAATCTTGATCCGACTTTTGTCCAGAATATCATCTGAATAGTGTCGAATACGTAGGTCACTCAATAAGTTTTGAGATGCTCAAAGTTTAAAAATGGAACGCACCCGTGTTATATGTTTCTTAATAGCAAATTTATTTAAAAATAGAACTCCATAAGTCAATTGCTCAATATAAAAAAACAAAGTTCTAATAATTTTCCTGCAAAGCCCAGGGCTTTTCATTTAAAATATTATGATTTTAAATTTGGTTTAACCGAACAATTAAGTTTACAACGGTTACAATGAGCATAAGGGGACTCATCACCATCACCATCAGCACCATCACGCGCAACAATTTTAGGTGGTTTGCTGAATTCAAAAGGGTTAAAATTAATCTTAAAGATGACCAATGAACCGCGGCCCCACAAACAGTAGTAACGGTAGATAATGTATGGACTACTGAA